TTTGTTTTGTTACTTAATGGGTTTGAGGTAATAACTCATTATAGTTTTGATTTGCATTTTTCTAATCAGTGATGTTGAGCATCTTTTCATGTGGTTAATGGCCATTTGTGTATCTTTGGAGAAATGTTTACTCAAGTTCCTTGCCCATTTTTGAATTGGATTGTTTGGTTTTGGATTGATGAGTTTTAGGAGTTCTCGAAACATTTTAAATATTAATCCTTTATAAGATACATGATTTGCAAATGTTTTCTCCCATTCTATAGTTTGCCTTTTTCACTCTGTTGATCTTGCCTTTTGAGTCACCAAATAACTGAATTTTTCATGAAGTCCAGTTTGTCTGTGATTTTTTATTTCTGTGCCTTTGGTGTCTTATCCAAGAGAGTACTGCCAGATCCCATGTCATGAAGCTGTTGCCCTGTAGTTTCTTCTAAAAGTTTTACAGTTTTAGGTTTAACATTTAGGTCTATTTGAGTTAGGTTTTGTATATGCAGGTAAGGGTCCAACTTCATTATTTTGCACATTGATGTCGAGTTTGCTCAGCACTGTACTGAAGGGACTGTGGTTCCCCATTGAAAAGACTTGGCACCCTTATTGAAAACCATTTGACCATATATACAAAAGTCTGTTTGTGAGTGTTTTGTTTTGTTCCATTGACCTATCAGTATATACGTGTCTTCATGCCAACACCATACTGATTACTTTAGCTGTGTAGTAAGTTTTAAAATCAGGGGGTGTTTGTCCTCTGTTCTTTTTCAGAATTCCTCTGGCTACTAGGGGTCCCTTGAGATTCCATATGAATTTTAGGGTGGGTTTTTTACTTCTGCAAAGAAAAAAGCATCTGATTTTGATATGGATTACATTGACTCTGTAGATTACTTTGCTAGTATTGTCATCCTCCAGTCCATGAATAATCATGGGGTGTTTCCATTTCTATTTTCTTTAAACAGTGTTTTACAGTTTTCATCATACAATTCTTTCAATTCATTAATTTTATTCTTTTTGATGCTATTGGAAAGTTTTTGTAATATCCTTCTTGCATTTCTATTAGTATATAGAAATGCAGTGGGATTTGTTTATTTTTCCTGTGTTGACTTGTATCTTGCTATTCTGCTGAGTTCATTTGTTAGCTCTGGCAGGTTTTGTGGAGGGGACTTTCTCCATATGAGATCATATCTGTGAACAAGGGTGATTTTACTTCTTTCCAACCAGTTTGGATTCCTTTTATTTATTTTTCTTGTCTGATTGCTTTGGGTAGGCCTTAAGTACTGTGTTTAATAGAGTTGGTGAAAGTAGGCATCCTTGTCTTCTTCCTGGTCATAGAGGAAAAACTTCTGTCTTTCACCATTGAGTATATTCAGTGTAGTTTTCATATATGGCTTTTGTTATGCATTATATATTATTAATTTTATATACTAATATATAGTATTTTGTATCTGAATGTCATTTACACATTTTTTTATACATGGAATCACTAGTCTCATATGTGAGAGTTTGGCTAGATAGAAAGGTGTAGGTCATTTGCTCTTTACTTGACATTTTTGAAATTGTTGTACTATCATCATTTTGCTTCTTATTGTTAACCTAATTTTATGTGTTTGATAAGAAATGTCTTTTTTTTTTTCTGAAGAAATAATGAGCTTTTACCTGTAAAGCATTGAAATCTAATAGATTTCCTAAGAAATGTCGCCAATTGATACTCCTGGTAATGGTAAACCCTTTCAACACAGTATATTGTTAATTTTTATTTCTGGAAAGCTGTCTTTGGTTATAGTTTCAAATATAGTTTGTTTCAGTGTTTGTTTTTCTTGGATCTTCTTCCTCTTTCTTTGAATTCTAGTTCTATCACTCGGAGTTGTTTAAACCTCCTGCATGTCTATTTCATCAGTTATAAAATGAAAGACAAGTGATACTTACATACATATCCACATTTGAGGAGGAAATTTATTTCTTTAGGTTTCAAACACTGTAATGGATATAAAGCAAAAATGAAATCCTGATGCAAAGTAAAAAAAAAAACAAAAACCTCATATGGTTTCAGTTCAGTTCAGTCGCCCAGTCGTGTCTGACTCTTTGTGACCCCATGAACTGCAACATGCCAGGCCTCCCTGTCCATCACCATTTCCCGGAGTCCACCCAAACCCATGTCCATTGTGTCGATGATGCCATCCAACCATCTTATCCTCTGTCGTCCCCTTCTCCTCCTGCCCAGCATCAGGGTCTTTTCAAATGAGTCAGCCCTCCGCATCAGGTAGCCAAAGTATTGGAATTTCAGCTTCAACATCAGTCCTTCCAATGAGCACCCAGGGCTGATCTCCTTTAGGATGGACTGGTTGGATCTCCTTGCAGTCCAAGAGACTCTGAAGAGTCTTCTCCAACACCACAGTTCAAAAGCATCAATTCTTCGGCACTCAGCTTTCTTTATAGTCCAACTCTCACATCCATACATGACTACTGGAAAAATCATAGCCTTGACTAGATGGACCTTTCTTGACAACGTAATGTCTCTGCTTTTTAATATGCTATCTAGGTTGGAACTTTCCTTCCAAGGAGCAAGTATCTTTTAATTTCATGGCTGCAATCACCATCTGCAGTGATTTTGGAGTCCCAAAAAATAAAGTCAGCCACTGTTTCCACTGTTTCCCCATCTATTTGCCATGAAGTGATGGGACTGGATGCCATGGTCTTAGTTTTCTGAATGTTGAGCTTTAAGCCAACTTTTTCACTCTCCTCTTTCACTTTCATCAAGAGGCTCTTTAGTTCTTCTTCACTTTCTGCCATAAGGGTGGTGTCACCTGCATATCTGAGGTTGTTGATATTTCTCCCAGCAGTCTTGATTCCAGCTTGTGGTTCATCTAGCCCAGCGTTTCTCATGATGTACTCTGCACATAAGTTAGATAAGCAGGGTGACAATATACAGCCTTGATGTACTCCTTTTCCTAGCTAATTCATTTAAAGGTACAGAACATTGTAGGAACACAGAAAGATGAGTACATGTTTGTTTCCATTGTTACTATCACCAAAAATAGAACTAATGCAGATAGAATAGTACTTAGAACTATACTTCTCACCATATTGCATCCTATAGTTGTGGGATTTTAAGTTTCTTCCTCTGCCTTTGTAATCAGCCTTGTCCTTAAATTGTATTACTTGCAATCACAGATCTGATTTCTATCTATATTATCTCTGGGAGTTTCTTTTCTGGAATGCCATGTTATAGAAATAAACAGTTTGGGGTGGCCCTTTATGTCTGACTTAACTTCATGCAGCATAATACTTCTGAGAGTCATCTAAGAACATGGTATCTCTTTTTATTATTTCTCAGTTTTTGCTTTAATTTTTCTAGATCATTATATTAGTCATTTGAGATCATCTCTTCTAATGTAAGGAATCTTCCCAGGTAGTGGTTCAGTGCTAAAGAATCTACCTGCCAGTGCAGGAGACTCAGGAGATCTGGGTTTGATCCCTGGGTTGGGAAGTGGAAATGGCAGCCCACTCCAGTGTTCTTGCCTGAAAAATCCCACAGATAGAGAAGCCTGGTGGGCTATAGTCCATAGGGCTGCAAAGATTCAGACACAGCTGAGCACTCATACACTTCTAATAGAAGCAGTTTCCCTTTATGCACTATTTTAACTTCACTGCACAAACTTTTTTTGAGAAGTAATTTACATACTGTAAAATATGATCTTTCAAATTACACAGTTCAGTGGCTTTCAGTAAATAAAGTTGTAAAACAAACTTCTAGATTGTAATTTTCTCACTTAAAAATTTTTTAATATTTTAATATATTCCCTGCCCACTCATATTTTAGAATAGGACCCATGTTATTTTACCCTGTCCAAAGGGAAACCTTTTCAAAGTTGGCATGGTTTGGGGGAGGAGATCAGAGTATATTTTGGCATACACTTGCACTGTAACATTGAATTCCGAGCAGTGTTTCATAGTCTATTAGAAATAAGTCTCAGGCAGCTCTAAGTGCTGTGAAATAGGAATGTTTTCTCTTTTCTTCCTCTTTCCCTTCATTTTTTGTTAAAATTTCCCCAGAGATTGATGTCACCTGTGGTTTGTTTTAATGTACTAATAGAAGACCATTTTGAAAATAAAGAATTCCTTGAAATTACTTCTGTATAATACTGTTAAGTTGAACTTCATATCAGGACATAAAGATAGCTCTTAATACAGGATTGCTTATAATGGGCCTTAGGTCTATCATTTCTTTAGGACACTCACTTGATTCATCTTAAAGATGACCCATTGCTCTTGGCATAAGTATTCAGAGCTTATGCTTTTAAAATTTTAAATTCTGTTTCTGAGGGTGCTGATGTATTTTGCTCTTTCAGACGAACATATAAACTCTTTGATTAGTTTCTTTTTAGGCCATAGACATTTGTCAACTTCTTAAACCTTTGTTACAGAACGTTGTCTTTCTACTTGAGAGTATTGAGAATTTTACTGACATTAGGTCTTCTAGAAATTTAAGAATATAAACTTAATGAAGATGTTGATTGTGGTGTCTTAAAATTTCTAGCTGAATTAGTTTTCAAAAATGAATGTTCATAATTAATACTATGATATATAGATGATCACATTCAGATGAAGAAATCCACAGATTAAGGTGTTAGGTCTAAGCAAACCTGCCATATAAAAATTTGGAGTTACTAAACAAATTTATTCTTTAGTTCAAAATCTTAATTTGTTGATATTAATCATTTTAAGATAGAAAATAGAACAAATGGAAAAATATACATTGTTCCTTTTGATATGATTCTTTTTACTAAAAACTACATAACTAAAAAAAAAAAAAAAAAGGAAGCTACTCCTAAAATGTCTGACTACTGTCCAGTGTTAATAAGTGGATCTAAGTATCTGTGTAATCTCATTACCCTTTTTAAAGAATAGCTTTCACTTTTTATAATACAAGTTTACTAAACACTTAACCTTTTTTCAGTCAACAGGAACATTTATAAACATTTTTATATATCAGTTGCTTGTTTGTTTTTTAGGTAAAATCTGTAAAAACTGGGTCAGTTTTTTGGACGATGTGCTGCTGCTTGTCGTATTTCTATATGGTAAGATTTCATACTTGAAACTGAATACATGAGGTCTAAGTCTTTGGCAACTAGACCAGTGCCTTCTCTTCTCAGCTAGGGCAGTTCTCCACTTCCTTTTTATTTAATGCATTCTCTTTGCTTACTACCACTTTCTTCCCTACTCCTGTCTTCAGGGTCTTGTATGGACTTCTACTTTACGGGTGATGGAGGACTAATACTCAACCTCTCAAACATAATATTTGCAGCAAGTGAAAACAGAAACTTTTCTTTCAGATGTACAACTTTTTGTAAATAATGGTCACATTCTCTGGGTTAACCTGTGAACTACCTGTATAAGTTTTTTGACAGGTTACTTAAGATTGGAATTCAGTATCACCTCTTTAATCTCCTGCCTTTCTTTTCACACCACAGCCTATATAGTTTTCTTATGCTGAAAATTAATGATAATCTTAAGTAATTTTTTTTTTTTTTGGTTGTTAAACAAATGTCATGGAATTTGTGTTTCCAAATTATCCATGCCCCTTTTAAAGTCGTTAAAGGTTAGGACATATTATGTGCCTAATTAATGTGTCCTAGGCATGTTGTGCTCAGTAATAGCAATAACTGTCTTTTAAGTTTAGACTTAAATTTTAGAAATAACCAGAAGTCCTTCTGGTAGAACTGAAGCTCAACCAGAGGAATGTTGTCTTTGGTGAGAAAATAGCACATGACTGAAGCAGTAAACTGATGTTGTTGTATGAATTGTAAACAAAAAGCAATTTCTTACATAAGTGGTTCTGAAATATTTTAGACAGGGATAGATAGCATTGTTATAATGTACGTTAACATATAGTCTCCTAAGGTGACTGTTGATTCAACTGGTTCTATCAAGCTTTTCATTATTAGAGCACATGTAAGAACTTTGATCTTGACAGACCTTATTATTGTTATTGAATTGAATGTTCTTAAAAAAATAATAAATTCTGTTGGTTTGGAATAAGCATAATCTTTAGGATCTTTATTAATTTAGACCAGAACGTACTCAGTTGTCTGATAAATAGAATTTTTCTAGCTTTGTGATACAGGCTAAACATTAAACTGGGATCCTGGTTTGTATCCATTAGTAGGAAGAAATTTATACCCAAGGTGTACCACCTTTTATCTTGAGGATCACAAAGCATATACAGATCATCTGAGTATTCCTTTTAGTTGAGGTGTTGACTGATGTTAACATCTGTTGTTCTTACTCTCTGTGAAGTCTCTTGCAATGTATTTACCATAAAAAATGGGGGCGAGCAAAGGGTTTTTTGCTTTTAAAAGTTTATGTATTCTAAAGTCTCTGTCTCTGAGTCTTTTTATTGCCAATTCACAAACTGTTCTCAATGTTCTTAGTAATCTTAATTTAATTTGACCATTCCCCTAGTGGATATAGTGGAGAAGGAAGTGGCAACCCACTCCAGTGTTTTTGCCTGGAGAATCCCAGGGACGGGGGAGCCTGGTGGGCTGCCGTCTATGGGGTCGCACAGAGTCGGACACGACTGAAGTGACTTAGCAGCAGCAGCTAGTGGATATAGAAAAGTGTATTGAATTTATGGGATTGTGTTGTTTTAATTATCAATAAAAAATTTTTTTAAAGTAGGTTATTTGTATGTAATGGACAAAACAGTTTATTTTGAAGCATCTCAAAATTGCTGAAAATCCTAGTGTTTACTCTGTGTTTAGACTTTTATGGCAGAATTTATCTACTTTAAGAAGCAAATATGTAAATTATTTAACTTAGCATTTCTTTACTCATAGGTCTCTGCTTGGGGTGGTTATGTGTTTATTATCAACCTTATTCCACTGCATGTATTTGTGTTGTTACTGATGCAGAGATACAGCAAAAGAGTCTACATAGGTAAGTGATTTGACTTCTGATATCTGTGAACTCCTAAGAGGTGTTTCGTATACATTCTTTCATTGTCAGACATTTCTGTTTAGTTGGTATTACCCATGAGTAATAAAGCTAATTTTACAATGTTTTGCTTTTTTATATTAATAAGGAGGGTTAGGCATTTTCACCAAAGTGTGTTATCATCAACTTTACCTTAATGAGTTTGTTTAGTTTTTGCAGAAATAAGTCTTGACTTAATATTTATCAGTCTTTTTTTTTTTAATTTGGAAAAATGATATATACACACTATAAACACACTATTACACTATATATACACACATATACACACTATTCTAATTCACCTTACTCCCTGAAAGAGACTGAGCATCCTTAACAGTTTAATAAGCTTTTAAAAACCCTTTCTGAATAATATGCAGCACGCTATCTTAGTCCATTCAAGCTGCTATAACAAAAATGCCACCGACTGGATAGTTTATAAACAAGAGAAATTTATTTCTCAGTTTGGAAGCTAGAAAGTCTAAAATCAAGGCACCAGAATGTTCACATTCTTCTGAGGGCTCTTTTTCTGTTTCTTAGCTTGATACCTTCTTTGTCCCCACATGGTAGAAGGAATGAGCCAGCTCTCCGGGGCCTCTTTTAAAAGGGTACTTGTTCCCTGGTGACCTCATTACTTAATCACTTCCCAAAGGCTGCCTCCTAATACCCTTTCCTTGGGCATTGGGTTTATTATAAACATTCAGACCATAGTGTAGACTGAGTGTTTTCTCTGCAACATTTTAATTTGCTCTGCAGGTTTTAGAACACATCTTTAGAATAAGATGCTTAGTAATAGATGGTGTCTTGAATCTTAGAACTCACTGTCTATGATAGAGACAGAACTTTTACAGGTTGTATTAATCACAGAGAAGTTGTCATCTGAAACCAGTGTCTTTATAATACAGTAATACAATTCTTTTATAACAATATTGGAAAACCAACAAAAATAATAAAGTCGTTTACTTGATTAAAAAACATAGTAGTTTGGCAGTTTACCAAAAACTTAATGATAAAGTTACTGTGACCCACTAATCCACTCCTTGGTATATACCCAAGAGAATTGAAAATTCTATACTTACACAGAAACTTGTAATGTTCGTAGCAGCATTTGTTATTCATAATAGCCAAAAACTGAAGACAACCCAATGTCCATCAACTGATGAATGGATAAAGCGTGGTGTATCCATACAGTGGAATGTTGTTCGGCAGTGAAAAGGAATAAAGGTGATATGTGCTACATCATGAACCTTGAAAATACTGTGCTAAGTAAAATAAACCAGACACAAAAGGCCATATATTGTAGGATTCTTTCTGTATAAAATGTCCAGAGGTGGCAAATCCATAAAGACAGCAAGCAGGTTAGAGACAGAAAGTTGGTTTAGAGGTTGCCAAAGGTTTGGGGACTAGAGTGACAGCTTATAGATACAGGCTTTCTTCTTGGGCGGGGAGAAGTGTTCTATAATCATAGTGGTGATAGTCACACAACTTTGTGACTATAATAACCACTCAGTGGTACATTTTAAAGGGGTGGGGTTTTTTTAGTATGTATTATATCAGTTAAAAAAAATTATAATCTGCTAATTAGGTTTATACCCACTTCAGCATACTTGATAACAATCACCACTGAAATAGTACATATGTATGTATCAGGTGGTTCTTATACACCATGAACTGTTCTTTGCATGTATTGAACTCATTTACTGTTTATAACCTCGCCTTGAGGATAGGTCCTTTAAACAGGAGAAGACATATTTTGCTCAGGATCATATAGCTAGTAATGGAGCTGAAGCCTAAATGTAGATAGTTTGGCTCCATACTCTGTAATGCAAAAAATCACTGTAACTGTGTTGCCTACCATATAAATAAATACCTTACTGTGGAAATATGTTGATATATATCTCATCACCCAGAAAACACTGTAAGCCAGCATTGGAATCCAGAAAAGAAGATGATGGGTTAAACAATAACTCCGAGCTTTTTGTTTTGGAACAGTATAAGGAAAAAACATTTTTAAATCAAGTGGTGATGGGGAAGAACTGAGAGTTTCTTTGTTTAATTTTAAAAATTTAGCGCCCTAAAAATGTAATGGTAAGGAAAACAGAGTTAGGGAGACGATTGAGGGATAGACCTTTGTGAAATGCCCCTGAATCAGGAAGAGGAAGAAGAGCTAAAGGAAGTGAAGTTAGATTAGCAAAGTCTAACTTCCCTACCCTCCTCATTTCTATTTAGCTCTAGAAGTTACCAAGGAGCATCATTTTACACTTTTAAATTATATTTCTTCGTTGTTCTTTCTGCTATCCTATGCTTGGCTTCATTTTAAGTATCCGTACTAGGTACATTTGCTATTTTTAAAAATTGTCATTGTGACTCCATTCAAATGTTTTGCACAAGTCACTTCTTCCTGCTTTTACAAATAGAGCTTATAAAATAGTAGTTTAAAAGAATCATTCAGTACAATTTATAATGAACAACATCCTTGAGAAAGAAAAATTATTTTTTCTCTTGTGTGTCTGTTAAGTTAGTCATTATATTTCTGTCTGCTGGTCAAGAAGAATCTGTGGAGGGTTTTTGTTTGTCTTTTTTTTGTGGGGAAGGGGGGAGGGTCTTATAAGCTATAATATCATGTATGTTTCTTCCCATCTTTCACTCCCTTTATTTATCAGCATTCATAGTAATCAAGCAGTAAAATATCTTTATTAATCAGATTTCAGCAGTCTTATAAGCCTTTAATCATATTTATTAATAATAAAGCAAAACTGGTTGAGTTTTCAAGTATTTTCTATTTCTTTTGGTTAGTGCTGTTGTGGTTGAGAGAGAAGAAACGGGAAAGGAGTGTTTTGCCAGCCCTTTCTATTAAATATCACCCAGGAGATAGAGCGAATGCTAAGGTGATTTCATGGTAGATTAGAGTTAACTGGAATATAATATTCACAAAACCTTTTCTAACTTTATTTACATAAAGGAATGTACAGTAGTACTTTAAAAGCATGAAGGGTGCTGTCAACTTAAGTTGTGATGCTTGGCAGGGAGAAAGAAAGTACTTAAAGGCTACTTTGGGAAACAGCAAGAGCTTCTATTAAAACTGGGCATTTCTCTGGTACTCGAATCAGGCCTTTTGGTGCCTTTTATTTTACAGACCAGCTCATTTGTGCACCTTAAGCCAAGAACAGTGGTTTGGTTCTTTTCTGTATCAATCTAGTCCCACCCAATACCCTTGGGGGAGAAAAAGTACTGTAAAAGTGAAAAGATGTTTAGATTCTGTTTTAGAAGATTACTATTTGTCCCAAATCAAAGAGATTTTCTTTGTTTAAAAATAAGCTAACAGACTTTGTATATATCTTCCTAATGATAATTGGAGGGGAATTCTAACACATTGGAAGTTTGATCTGCAGGAGTAAATTGCCAGTAACTATACTTCCACAGGATGGCAGTGTGGTAACATTGTCATGATGTAATGATTTACCACACTCTTGGTCTTGTTTGTTTTCTTAGAACTCACTGCTTTGATGGAAAGAGAGCTTTAGTCTTCTGGTTTAAAGGGTAAAAAGAAAGTAGGTTAAGATAGATGGATAGAAGGTTGTGAAGATGTAGAGCATAGTTTGATCAAGTTTCAGAGCGTGGAGGAAGAACTGGTGGAGAATGATTGCTCTGTGAGTGTGCTGTTGAGGGTTCTGAGAATGTCAGAGAATGGTTCAGGTGGTATTATGTGCCTCTTCAGTGTCCAGGTCAAGAAGCAGAGCTCTCGCCGTCCTCTCGCCTGGCTCTTCAGAGCCAGGGTTTTTTTCCACCAATGTCGCATGTACTTGCTCTGTTGTATTGCGGTAATTTGTGTACGTCTTTGATTTTCCAAACTGGATATCGGATTCTTAGAAGGTCAGATTGTATTTTTAGAATGTCTTGACCACAATAGGCCATAACTTAATATTTGAATGAATTAAAGAGATAATTTTTAAACAGGTAGTACAAAGACTCAAGAAAAATATGTTTTCATTTTGCATTGGAGAATGGTTTATGTTTAAGAATTGAGGGTTACTTCACTATTTCTTCCAGTTTCACTGTTTCTTAATACGTATTTCTAATTCTTATTTTCTGTGTTTTAAAACATGGGTTTGTAAATGGGATTTAAAATGAGGTATGGTGATATATGTCTCATTTTACAGGTTCAAGAAGAAGGGCAGTATTAAGCAAGATGAACTTGGAATTTTTTTAAACAAAATTCAGCTGAGTGAATTTTAAGTATCTAATTGGCTTTATTAATGACTCATAAGTTGGACAGCATCACTAATGTAGCCAAGTAGAAAGGAGCTCCAAAGAACCACAGTAAGGGAAAGATTTTTATAGGCAAGACAAGGAATCTGTAACCAAAAGAGCCTTTCAGGCCTAGGTAACCTACCTGTGGGGGAGAGAAAGGGTCTTTGTGGCAGATTCCCTCCTCTTTCTTTGGGCAGTGGGAGTTAGAAAGAATTACCTCATTTGTGCTGACAGAACATTCCATGCTGACCTAGTAGAATAGTATTCCTGGGGAAGGTTGTGACTGCAGTTAGGATTCGGTATTGAGTCTTGAATTTCAGCACTGTTGACTCCATTTGGGGCCTTTAACAATGGAAATATTTGTGTGTTAAAGAGTACTATGAAGTAGAAGAACATACATCCCTCTATGTAAATATCTCATTATCACTGATCCAAAAAAGATAAAAATAGGGAAGACATGAACCAAGTTCTCTTAAAACGGTTATCGTCGGATTATTGCATACATCACATTTATTAGCTTTGAATCATCAGTGCACATAAGCAGGTATAAATGAGATTAGTTTGGATAGAGGAATATTTGTAGGTTAAATATTGTTGAGAACTTGTCTGTTTCTGTTAGTTGAGATTTGTTTGACACTAACTCATATTTACAAAGTAATGTGTTTGCAAGTTAAAGTCCCACCTGGCTTTTTTTTAATGTTTCTTGAGATTGAGTTTCTTTTTCTTGAACCCATCTCCATCACTTTTTTTTATTAACTTGAACTCTAGTGTACCACTTCTTTATAAAGAGTTTTCTTTACCTAATGGCAGTGAATGCCTGTGTAGCTGCATCAAACCACTGAAATGAGAGTATTAGCAGATTTAGTCTCTTTTTGCATATACCTGGAAAAGTGGAAACAGTAACAGATTTTCTTGGGCTTCAAAATCAGTGTGGATAGTGACTGCAGCCATGAAATGAAAGACACTTGTTCTTTGGAAGGAAAGCTATAACAAACCTACACAGTGTATTAAAAAGCAGAGATACCACTTTGCTGACAAAAGTCTGTCTAGTCAAAGCTATGGTTTTCCCAGTAGTCATGTGTGGATGTGAGAGTTGGACCATAAAGAAAGCTGAGCACCAAAGAATTGATGCTTTTGAGTTTTGGTGTTGGAGAAGACTCTTACGAGCCCCTTGGACTGCAAGGAGAGCAAACAGTCAATCCTTAAAGAAAATCAATCCTGAATATTCGTTGGAGGGACGGATATTGAAGCTGAAGCTTCAATAATTTTGCCACTTGTTGTGAAGAGCCAACTCATTGGAAAAGACCCTGATGCTGGGAAAGATTGAAGGCAAAAGGAGAAGAGGGCAGCAGAGGGAGAGATGGTTGAATAGCTTCACCAACTCAATGGACATGAATTTGAGCAAACTTCAGGAGATAGTGAAGAACAGGGAAGCCTGGCGCATTGTAGTCCATGGAGTCACAAAGAGTTGGACAGGACTTAGTGACTGAATAACAACAAAAGTTCTTCAAGGTCACAAAATGACCATGTTCCCATTTTTTCCCCCTAATTCTGCCTCCTTGACTCTGGGAATCTACACAGACTGATTTGTAAGAGAAACATACTGGTATTTGAACACCATCAACCAAAATGGTTGGCAGTTCAAATATATGTGACATAGAATTTCTTGTTCATACTTTTATTGCATTTGCGTTCACATATCTAGTCCAACACTAATGTGTCTGGAAAGTACATTGTTGGATGAGTTTGTTCCTCGGGATCCTCTCGACAGCCAGCTCTCTGTTAGCTTGAATTCGTCAGAAGCTTTATACATTGGTCCTTCCTATTACATTCACTTAAGCTTCTTAGCCTTTTCCTAATACTGTGGTCATCCGTGATCAGACACTGTACAGCACAGCATACACTTCCCTTCACCCAGCTCAGCTGAGAAAGAACGCTTACTCACTGTTAAAAGAAACCCAAGTGAATGAGTGTTCTTTCTCAGCTGAGCTGGGTGAAGGGAAGTGTACACTCTGCTGTACAGTGTGGAGCATACAGATATGTCTGCTGAGCCGTTGTCTTGCAGTCTTTTTTCCTAGTAGAGTACTTTATTTGCCAAGCACTAAATATTGACTAGCCTTCACAAGGTGATGTGTATAATAAGCTTTATAAATGGAATATTTTTCACACTTACTTATTTCAGAAGAATTTTAACTTTTTTTCAAATTAATTTTTATTTACGACTATTCCAAATACTTCACTGTAATGATATGTGAATACCTTAATGCAAAAACAAATCCTTTATACAAGCTGTAACCACTCCCCAATTTGCCTATACACTTAGGTTGATATAAACCAAGAATACTACATAGTATATTCAGTGCAGAAAGCAAATACGTTTCCTTTATTAGATCCTAATAAATTTGTAACTAGTCTGTTTTATGACTTGACCTCTGTGTACTTAGTTCTTTTGTTCTTTAATCATAGAAAACCTAGTAGATGGACATAAAGTTTGTTTAAACTGGTAACGTACTGTACAAAAAGATTATGAAAAGGTTGTAAGTACTTAAAAGCTTTTGAGACTGCAAGCTACTCAGATAGGATGATGATAAGCTTTCATTTGGTCATGCATACTTTGTGTTAATGCTAATAGGAATGGTGTTTACATGCTTCTTGGGTCATGTCAACAATTGTTAATGATAGATTGGAAAAATTTGATTCCATTTTCAGAAGAAGAAAACAGCACCAGTCTTCTTAAAATAATACTTTTTTAAAATGGCAGAAAAGAATTATATGTTTTATAATGTATGATTGATTAATCATCCAGTATGTATCAAATAGGATAGTCACTTCAAAATTCTATTAAAATAAGTGCAGTTAAAACTTTTTCAGTTAAAAAAAATATATGAATCGTGTATGTATTTATGTTTGAAGTACTTAGTGGTAATGGTGAATTGTCCTTGTTTCCTATTTTGTCTTTACAGCATATAGCACTTTCTATATTGTGGGCCTGATATTATCCATGCAGATACCTTTTGTGGGATTCCAGCCAATCAGAACAAGTGAACACATGGCAGCTGCAGGTAGGAAAAATATTTATGTTCTTTCTTCTAAAGAATCCATGAATGTATGACTAACTGATCTTCAGTGGTATGGAGGGTTCTTTTGGGGCTTTGTTGTTGTTTCTAATTTTCATTGTATTAGTTCTAAAACATCACCACTGTAAAATATGAATATCACCACTGTAAAATATGACAGGAGAATTTATTGAGAGTTTCTGATATTGGGCTTCTGAAAGTGCCTGTCTTCCCAGGTATGGCAGTTTTGAGAAGGTTAAAGCATCCTTTTTTGCCAACACTAAATAACATTTGCTTTGTATAAACAAATATTAAATAGTAATGTATCTGTATACTGGGTTACTATACTACTGAGTTGTCATTTTACCAAATTTAGGTGGAATGGAACATTTCATTTTTATGTTCTTTACATCTCACTAAAATATTTTATCCATCCCTACTAACTAGAATTAAGGGCTTTTATATTGATTATAAAGTCACATAATTCTCCCTAAAGCAGAGCATTTTGCCATTGTTAATCTGGGTCACAGATAACAAGATATAATGAGAGATCTGTGAATAAAACTTTATCAGAGATTTCCACACAAGGTCCATGACCCATAGAAAATCTGTGGGTAGTCATTTTGTTCGTAGCATTTTATAAATATCGGTATTTTTAACTTTGTGAGATGATGATGGTCCATAGCTTTTATCATCAGATTTTCAGTGAGAATCTTGAACCACACACACCCACCCCAGCTATGAACAGTAACCATATATTATTGTTCAGTCGCTAAGTCATGTCCCCAAGGACTGCAGCACTCCAGGCTTCTCTGTTCATGTATTAGAAAAAAAATATGTAACAGAATTTTTTGGATGTATTAATTGGTTACCTGTCATTTGACAAAGGAAATGTCAGATCACTGAATTGTACAGGATATTCTAATAGTCTTCCAAATAAATGTTTCTCAATGTTCTTGGAAAAATGCTTCATTGATTACTTATATGAACCTTCTCTTTAATTAGGTGTCTTTGCATTGCTGCAAGCTTATGCTTTCTTGCAGTATCTGAGAGACCGGTTAACAAAACAAGAGTTCCAAACCCTGTTCTTTTTGGGTGTGTCACTAGCCGCAGGTGCTGTGTTCCTTAGTGTCATCTATTTGACTTATACAGGTAGGTGCCGTCACCTGTCAGATGTGAACCTTGTCTCTAGGTCATTGCAAAAAGTAAATTCTTTTGCAAATTTTATACATGTTCCATTTATCCTAGTAGGTCAGCTATTGTTTTCTTTTAAACATTATGAAAATAATAAGTCAAAGGTTCTAAAATCTGAATAGCACTACAGATTTCCTTCTTTTTTTAAACAATATCTTTGTTGCTTCAGGTTCTGCTAAATCCACATTCAAGCATCCTTCTCTTGATAGATGATTAGGCCCAAAATGTATAAAATTCTAAGTTTCTGGTGTTAATGGCATAGGTTTACCCTCCCTAGTGTGTATATACTCTGTCTCCTGCTTCTAAACAGCCAACCAGTCAGCTTCTGAATTCTAAGTTCTTTTCCTGACTTTACCAGTCGCTAGAAACAAATCAAATTCTCTCTGAAGGTATGTCAAATTAATGAACCAGTTTAGCTCATAAAATCATGAAGAATTAATTGACAGGAGTAAAAGGCACAAATGTTTAAAATCACCTTTGTAATTGATCTAAATTTGGCATACTGGACACCTCTCACTTTTTAAAATTATCCAGTACTATCTTAATATCTTTATTTTATTAGTCAATTAGAGGTTTAAAAGAATCAGAAAGCTGTCAACAGTGTTATCAGTCAGCTTGTTCTATTCCTTTGGAAATGTAATGTCCATGGGTATCTTTTTAATTTGATCCCTAAGGCCCAGACAGTGAAGAACCTGCCAGCAATGCAGAAGACCCGGGTTCGATCCCTGAGTCAGAGAGCTCCCCCTGGAGAAGGGAATGGCAACCCACTCCAGTATTCTTGCCTGAAGAATTTCATGGACAGAGGATCACAAAGAGTTGGACATGACTGAGTGACTAACACTACTATTACTAACTTTATTTTATCTGATGACCAGCTGTGTGAAATACAGTGTAACCTATTTTTTTTTTAAGGCAGTTCTTTTAACATTAGCTTAAAATTAGTTCAAATAATCAGTAAACATAAAACCAATAAAAACAATGAAACAGCCAATAAATTTACTTTGCATTTTTCCTTCCAAGGTTACATTGCACCATGGAGTGGCAGGTTTTACTCATTGTGGGACACTGGGTAAGTGCAGATAAGTTATGTGCCCTCATGTTATTTAAATATTCTTTTGTCTTCTTTATTGTTAATATCTCTGTCAATACCGGGCAACATTCTATAATATTTAGCATATACCAGTTTAGTAAACGTTGTATTTTGTCTTTGTTATAATATCCGTTTGGAATTCACTGGTAGTTTGATATGTAAATCATATTTCTGTTCTTCATGGGCAACTCCTTTTTGTTTATTAAAACATTTCCGTGCCATTTTAATGATTGATTTTTTTTTTTTGTTTTTACCAATGTATTCAGTTTCCATCTGTTAGTAATATTTAATTTTTAACCCTTAAGGATGCTGTAGACATGAGAAAAAATTTAATTTTATCTAAGTTTCTTGGTGTTATTTAACCATCAAATATACTAGAGGATATCTGTTGAGTTTTTTAAGAGTGATTTTATGAGATGAGTTAATAAAAAAAAATAGTTTTACATTAGCTCAACACTTTTTTTTTAACTAAAAATGTTTTCCTAAGGATAAGAAAATATCTCCTGGTGATAATTGACCTTTCTCCCTTGATTCTGCTGTTCTGTCTTTTATGTTACCCCATGTGGCCCAATAAAAAACCTACTGCATTTTATTGAATACGCCTGCCCTTTGATAGAATACCAAAAAGGCCCCTACCCAAGCCTAATTAAAGGGCATAAGCAAATGATGTATGGATGGCTGAAACTTAACAGACACATACTCCCAAAGATCAGCCTTTGCATCACCAGAGAGTTTGAGGGAAAAACCCCAGTTGTAGAAGTCAGTTAATTCTGACTAGGTTAAAAATTCTAGGTTAAAATTTTATTAGTCATACTTATTCTTGTTTTCAAACTTTACTTGCCCACTTTGGAATCTTAGGATATTTCAGAGAAAATCTGTCCTGTCCTTTTCATGTCTCTCACCAACCACCTCTGTGCCATCTCCGTGTTAAGAAAGATATTGTCACAATAGGATATCTTATTGGATGAGTTATTCTGCTAGTCACACATCCAAAAGGTGGTCGAACTCAATGGTGCAAACTTAGGAAGTGCTTGTTCAGTTCATTCCCTCAGTTGTGTCCAACTCTTTGTGACCCCGTGGACTACAGCACGCAGGCTTCCCTGTCCATCACCAACTCCCAGAGTTTACTCAAACTCAAGTCCATTGAGTCGGTGATGCCATCCAACCATCTCATCCTCTGTCGTCCCCTTCTCCACCTGCCTTCAATCTTACCCAGCATCAGGGTCTTTTCCAGTGAGTCAGCTCTTCCCATCAGGTGGCCAAAGTATTACAGTTTCTGCTTCAGCATCAGTCCTTCCAATAAATATTCAGGACTGATTTCCTTTTGGATGGACTGGTTGGATCTCCTTGCACTCCAAGGGACTCTCAAGAGTCTTCTCTAACACCAGAGTTCAGAAGCATCAGTTCTTTGGTGCTCAGCTTTCTTTATAATCCAACTCTCACTTCTATACAGAACTACTGGAAAAAACCATAGTTTTGACTAGACAGACCTTAGTTGGCAAAATGATGTCTCTGCTTTTTAATATGCTGTCTAAGTTGGTCATAACTTTTCATCCAAGGAGCAAGCGTCTTTTAATTTCATGGCTGCAGTCACCATCTGCAGTGATTTTGGAGCCCCCAAAAATAAAGTCTGACTCTGTTTCCACTGTTTCCCCATCTGTTTGCCATGAAGTGATGAGACCAGATGCCGTGATCTTAGTTTTATGAATGTTGAGTTTTAAGTCAACTCTTTCACTTCCTCTTTCACTTTCATCAAGAGGCTCTTTAGTTCTTTTGCCATAAGAGTGCTGTCATCTGCATATCTGAGGTTAGTGATATTTCTCCCAGCAATCTTGATTCCAGCTTGTGGTTCATCCAGCCCAGCGTTTCTCATGATGTACTCTGCATATAAGTTAAGAAAGCAGGGTGACAATATACAGCCTTGACACACTCCTTTCCCTATTTGGAATTCTTTTTGCTCTTTTGATGATCCAAAGGATGTTGACAATTTGATCTCTAGTTCCTCTGCCTTTTCTAAATCCAGCTTGAACATCTGGAAGTTCATGGTTCACATACTGTTGAGGCCTGGCTTGGAGAAATTTGAGCATTACTTTGCTAGCATGTGAGATGAGTGCAATTGTGTGGTAGTTTGAGCATTCTTTGGCGTTGCCTTTCTTGAGGATTAGAATGAAAACTGACTTTTTCCAGTCCCGTGGCCACTGCTGAATTTTCCAAATTTGCTGGCATATTGAGTGCAGCACTTTCACAGCATCATCTTTTAGGATTTGAAATAGCTCAACTGGAATTCCATCACCTCCACTAGCTTTGTTCATAGTTATGCTTCTTAAGGACCACTTGACTTAACATTCCAGGATGTCTGACTCTAGGTGAGAGATCACACCATCATCACTATCTGGGTCATGAAGATCTTTTTTGTATGATTCTTCTGTGTATTCTTGCCATGTGTCCTTAATATCTTCCGCTTCTGTTAGGTCCATACCATTTCTGTCCTTTATTGTGCCCATCTTTGCATGAAAAGTTCCCTTAGTATCTCTGATCTTCTTGAAGAGATTTCTAGTCTTTCCCATTGTGTTGTTTTCTTCTATTTCTTTGCATTGATCACTGAGGAAGGCTTTCTTATCTCTCCCTGCTATTCTTTGGAACTCTGAATTCAAATGGGTATATCTTTTCTTTTCTCCTTTGCCTTTCACTTCTCTTCTTTTCATAGCTCTTTGTAAGTCCTCCTCAGATAACCATTTTGCATTTCTTTTTCTTGGGTATGATCTTGATCACTGCCTCCTATGTGATGTCACGAACCTCTGTCCATAGTTCTTCAGGCACTCTTGTCTATCAGATCTAACCCCTTGAATTTATTTGTCACTTCCAGTGTATAATCATAAGGGATTTGATTTAGATCATACCTGAATGGTCTAGTGATTTTCCCTACTTTCTTCATTTTAAGTTTGAATTTGGCAATAAGGAGCTCGTGATCTGAGCCACGAGCAGCTTTTGGTCTTGTTTTTGCTGACTGTATAGAGCTTCTCCATCTTTGGCTGCAAAGAATGTTATCAATCTGATTTCAGTATTGACTATCTGGTGATGTTCATGTGTAGAGTCTTCTCTTTTGTTGTTGGAAGAGGGTGTTTGCTATGACCAGTGCATTCTCTTGGCAAAGCTCTATTAGCCTTTGCCCTGCTTCATTCTGTACTCCAAGGCCAAATTTGCCTGTTACTCCAAGTATTTCTTGACTTCCTCCTTTGGCATTCCAGTCCCCTGTAATGAATAGGACATCGTTTTTTGCTGTTAGTTCTAGAAGGTTTTGTAGGTCTTCATAGAACTATTCAACTTCAGCTTTTTCAGCATTACTGGTCAGGGCATAGACTTGGATTACTGTGATGTTGAATGGTTTGCCTTGGAAACAAACAGATCATTCTGTCGCTTTTGAGATTGCATCCAAGTATGGCGTTTTTGGACTCTCTTGTTGACTATGATGGCTACTCCATTTCTTCTTAGGGATTCTTGCTGACAGTAGTATATATAATGTTTATTTGCGTTAAATTCACCATTCCAGTCCATTTTAGTTCACTGATTCCAAAAATGTCAATGTTCACTCTTGCCATCTCCTGTTGGACCACTTCTAGTTTGCCTTGATTCATGGACCTAACATTCCAGGTTCCTATGCAGTATTGCTCTTTACAGCATCAGAACAAGTGCAAAAGAAATTTCTATTTGAGCAAGGATTTTTGTGTTAGAAGTCAGAGCCAACACTGTTATAACTGTCCTTAGATAATTCTAATTTTAGGGGGAAGTATGTTGATTTTTGGATTTACCAATGTGTGTCAGATTTATATCCACTATAGCAGGTAACATTGGAATGTATTTTTAAACCAGAAGAGGGAGAGATGGGAACCTTATCTATTAGTACAATCCAAGAAAGTTTATTCACCTAAAAGGAGCTGCTGTTTTATCATTTAATTTTAAAAAATGTTAACTTCTTTAATACCAGGTATGCAAAAATACACATTCCAATTATTGCATCAGTGTCTGAGCATCAACCTACGACTTGGGTATCTTTCTTCTTTGATCTACATATTCTTGTGTGTACCTTCCCAGCAGGCCTGTGGTTCTGCATTAAAAATATCAACGATGAGAGAGTATTTGGTAAGAGGTTTTTAATAAATACTTTGATTTATTTTTGTTATTGAGATTATCATTCCACCTTAAAGTTTTGTTTGTCATTGCTTGACTTTGCATAAAGATAAACTTTCATCTCTTACTTTGATGAAGAAAAATTAAGGGAATTTGCATTATATATACTCTCATTATTAACTGTTTAAATTTTGTACTAGTATGTAAGCTTTTCATTCAATTTATTGTTTTCTGAGAGGTTAATGTAATGGTAGTCTGTGGCTGAGAATTGGAAATTATAACTTTGTTGACAGAATAGACTTGACTATGTTTTCTCAGTTAACTCTGACTAAGTAGGAAGACTTTGGCAGGGGCATCCATGATCCAGAAAATTTCAGTGGAAAGTACATTTTGTAATAGAATCACCTGTAAGTAAATATCCTCTTGGCAGATAGATTTGTGTAATTTTCAACCAACAAGTCTTAGAATTACAAACTATTTTAAAGTCAGTGTTTAAGGTAAAACCTGAAACTAAAAACACTGTAATATGCACAGGGTCACACAAGCAAATATCCTGTACAAATACGTGACCTGGACCATGCATGACACTCAGAAGTTTCAGAGTGATGTCAGGAGAGAGAAAATAGCATCTGCATAGGTGCTAACCAAAGAGTGGCACTCATTTTTTTTGGTTTATATGGGGCACTCATCTTTTTGGTTTATATAGGTCAGTGGACTTTGAAGAAAGCCGTGTTAATACTACATCACTCAAGAAGAATTAGCTTAACATATTGCCCATTCATGATTTAGCAGTCCCAATCCTAGATAGATACTGAGAGAAGGGAGTGTGTGTCTAACAAAGGACGTGTCTTAAGAATGTACATAGCAATTTTATCCATAATAGCCCCTAATTAGAAACATTACAAAGGTTATCAGCAGTAGAAAAAAGAGATTCTTATGCATTTGTAGAGTGGAATACAGCACAACAATTAATACAAGAATAGCGTGGGTAAACAAAAGAAGTCAGTACAAAAGAGAACATTTTTATATACTTTTATTTCTATGAAGTTTAAGAATAAGGAAGTATCACTACGAACAAAGCTTATAGAGGTGATGAAATTCTAGCTGAGTTATTTCAAACCCTAAAAGATGATGCTGTTAAAGTGCTGCACTCAGTATGCCAGCAAATTTGGAAAACCCAGCAGTGGCCACAGGACTGGAAAAGGCCAGTTTTCATTCTAACCCCAAAGAATGCCAAAGAATGTTCAAACTACCACACAGTTGCACTCATCTCACACGCTGGCAAAGTCTTGCGCAAAATCCTCCAAGATAGGCTTCAGTAGTACATGAACTGAGAACTTCCAGATGCTCAAGCTGAATTTAGAAAAGGCACAACCAAAGATCAAATTGCCAACATCTGTTGGATCATAGAAAAAGCAAGAGAATCCCAGAAAAATATCTGCTTCATTGACTACGCTCAAGCCTTTGACTGTGTGGATTATAACAAACTGTGGAAAATTCTTCAAGAGATGGGAATACCAGACCACCTGACCTGCCTCCTGAGGAGTCTGTATGCAGGTCAAGAAGCAACAGTTAGAACCAGATGTGGAACAATGGACTGGTTCCAAATTGGGAAAGGAGTACGTCAAGGGTGTATATTGTCACCTTGCTTATTTTACTTATATGCAGAGTACATAATGAGAAATGCCAGACTGGATGAAGCACAAGCTGAAATCAAGATTGCTGGGAGAAATATCAATAACCTCAGAGAGGCAGATGACACCATCCTTATGGCAGAAAGCGAAGAACTGAAGAGCCTCTTCATGAAAGTGAAAGAGGAGAGTGAAAAATCTGGTTTAAAACTCAACATTCAAAAAACAAAGATCATAGCATCCGATCTCATCACTTAATGTCGAATAGATGGGGAAACAATGGGAGCAGTGGGCTTCGAAATCTCTGCAGATGGTGGCTTCAGCCATGAAAGTAAAAGACACTTGCTCCTTGGAAGGAAAGCTGTGACAAACCTAGAGAGCATATTAAAAAGCAGAGACATTCCTTTGCTGACAAAGGCCCATCTAGTCAAAGCTATGGTTCTTCCAGTAGTCATGTATGGATATGAGAGTTGGGCCATAAAGAAAGGTGAGCATTGAAGAATTGATGCTTTCAAGCTGTGGTGTTGAAGACTCCTGAAAGTCCTTTGGACTGCAAGGAGATCAAACCAGTCAATCCTTAAAGGAAATCAATCTTGAATATTCATTGGAAGGACTGATGCTGAAGCTCTAATACTTTGGCCACGTGATGTGAAGGACTGACTCATGGTGCTGGGAAAGATTGAAGGCAGGAGGAGAAGGAGATGACAGAGAACAAGATGGTTGGATGGCATCACTGACTCGATGGACAGGAGTTTCAGCAAGCTGCGGGAGTTGGTGATGGATAGGGAAGCCTGGCTTGCTGCAGTCCATGAGGTCTCAAAGAGTCGGACATGACTGAGTGACTGAACTGAACTAAGAATGAGGAAAGTTAAATTATTGCTTTGAAAGTTGAAATAGTGATTACCTGTTTTATGGGAGAGGGTAGTGGTTATTGACTAGGAAGAGGCATGAGGGATTCTCCTGAGGAAGGATACAGATGTTCTGTATTTTGATATGGGTGGCAGTTACATAGGTGTGTGCATATAAAAATTCACTGAGATAAACAATATTGTATAGTAAATGTATTTTTTAGTCAGGAAAAAAATATGAATTGGTTTCAAGTGAGATGGACACTCAGATGACTCAGTAACTTTGTGAAGTCACAGCCTCTAGCCAGAAATGAATAGAGCCTTTCCCTGTGGTGAGCACATTATCTGGAACAGTTTGACTGTTGGAAAGTACTTCCAGATTTTTTAAGTTTCTTGGTAATAGCTTCATAAGTTCCTCCTTTGGTTAATAAATTATTTTCTTCTCATCCTGTTTTTACTTTAAAGCAGGCTTTATGCCAAATATTGGCACGAGCTTTTCATAGACTTTATTTGATTCTATAATCTTACTGTGCCTAATAATATAATTCACCAAACACATTTTCCTGTTATGGATTTTTCTAATACGTGATGCTGTTGACAAATAACGAATTGTCTCACTTCCCATAATAGCTATAATTAATTTGAATCCTGATACATTGCTCTCAACTATTGATATTCAGTGTTTATTTAGTCAATACTAGTTATAATCTGTAAATATGACTTTAAAATTGGTTCAGATTATCAGTTTAAAAACAGCCCTTTTATGAGATGTTTGTCTGTGTTTCAATTGTCCTTTGAAGTAGTTTTGAATATTCACTGGGTCTTCCTGGGACCCTTTGTTTCCTGAAATATTACAAGAGAACTTGTCTTTGCAGTTGCGCTGTATGCCATCAGTGCCGTCTACTTTGCGGGCGTGATGGTGCGGCTGATGTTGACCTTGACTCCAGTCGTCTGCATGCTGTCTGCAATTGCATTCTCAAACGTTTTTGAGCACTATTTGGGGGACGACATGAAAAGGGAAAACCCGCCTGTGGAGGACAGCAGTGATGAGGATGACAAGAGAAACCCGGGAAATTTGTATGATAAGGTGGGAAATCTAAAGTAAGGCCTTTAAAAGTTTTATGTGTTTTGTTTTTCCACCATAGTAAGAATCATACACATTAAGAAGTGTAGTTAAACAAGAATCTAGACAAATTGACACTTTGAGTTCGTCTTTTCACTCAGAATATGAAAATAGAATGTCATCAGAGTATATAATCACCTTTTGGGTCAGGTTTTATAAACTAAAACCCAATTTTCAGAGCAAAAAGCTGGTGCTCTTACTAAATTACAAAAGATTTAACACTATAAATCTTTCTGAAACCATGTGCACAAGGGTTTATCCTTGAAGTCCATATTCAGTGTAAACTTTTAAACCTGGTACACTGAATAGTAAATGAAGGATATCGTGTGTGCTCAGTTTTGTCTGCAACCCCATCGACTGTAGCCCGTCAAGGTCCTCTGTCCATGGGATTTTTCAGGCAAGAATAATGGAGTGGGTTGCCATTTCCTTCTCCAGGGGATCTTCCCACGTCTCCTTCATTGGCAGGTGGATTCTTTAGCCACTGCACCACCTAGGAAACCCCATATGAAGCGTATTAAATGCCCCCTCCTTTTTTTTTTTTTTTAAGTCTCCAGTTCATTAGTACTAGGTGCTGGGCCCATATAATGTAATTCACTTTTAAGATCTCAGGAAACAGAGAAGAATTATATTTGGTGGAAGTGTGGATAAGACTTAGAGCACTTGTCTTGAACAACAAATTAAACTTTACTATATTGACTAGGTTTTTAAGTAGCAGTAAGCAATGAAACTTCCTAGTATAAATATTAATTTAAAAATTTTCTTTCCTTACTCTGATAGGTCCAGTATCATTCATACAGATTACTGCTATTAAAGCACATGCCTGCTTTTGTGTTTATTTTTGTTTTGTGGTTTCTCAATAATTAACCTTGCAGTTTAGAACCTCTGACTCTGTCCTGTTCTCTCCTGGTTTTTGAAGAGGTTTATTGTTTTGTTTTCAAAAATACAATCTTGATTTTAACAAGCCTTGACTTAGGGTTTGGAAATTGGAAAACTCATTCTGATAATGCTTTTTTTTTTCCTGTACTAAAGTCCTACAAAGTCCTGGATTATAACTGAACATTGCTTTTTTCAGGATGAGGAATTCAATTTTTTTATAAGGAAAAGTTGCCAGGATGAGACCATTTGGTTCTCCCCTTCATATTTATTTAAACATAAGGTCAGTTGAGTTCCAAAGCAACTTCTTACTGGAGATATTTTGCTCTGCAACCAGTTCCTGGATTGGGTTTAGTTCCTGGAAGTCTTCTCATTGACAGTTGACGTGAGAATAAACCTCGATAATTCTTAGAAAATATTGTATGACCCACACAAGAATTCCTGATGGTTATACGTTCTCCTCTTGAAACTCTTAAATTGATAGATAACATTCTCCCAACTTCTCCATGTGATGTCTCAATGAAATCAAGTCAGATGATGAATTTGTCTCATCAGTTTTCTGTATTTTCAGGCAGGCAAAGTGAGGAAGCATGTAACCGAGCAGGAAAAAACAGAAGAGGGATTAGGTCCTAATATAAAGAGCATTGTCACCATGCTCATGCTGATGCTGTTGATGATGTTTGCAGTCCACTGCACCTGGGTCACAAGCAATGCCTACTCCAGCCCAAGCGTGGTCCTGGCCTCTTACAATCATGACGGGTAAGAAGATAGCTTGACTATGAAAGGATTCCACACCTGCTCTTTTCTTTTGTCTCAAAAGATAGAATTCAGAGGTCTGTCTGAATATCTTTGCATATATAACATACACATTAGTCTTAAAGTGTCATGCTTGGACACACCATCATCATTACCAAGAAACCCATTAGACCTGCACATTCTTGACCCCACCTAAGCATGTAGAGTTAGAAACCTGGGGGTGAGACTCAGGAATCTGTGGCTTAAGAAGTGCCCCAGGGGAAAAAAAAGAAGAAGTGCCCCAGGGATTCTAATGCGGCTGAAATTTAACAGCAGGTGGTTTCTGTACTGCCCCGACCCCAGCTTCTGCGTGCTCTTCAGACTTGTGCAATATCAGGCTCCATTTCAAAACTACTAAATCAGAATTTCCTTTTTTACGTGATAGCCTGGTGGTTTGTATGCCTATTAAAGAAGCACGAATCTAGCTCTTCTTTTTTTTTTTTTTCTTCCCTACCCTGGAGGCTTTTTAACTACCATCCTTAAAATATGAAATTATTTAGTGGCCTGGCACCCCAAGATTTTAAGAAACCATCTTCACATTTATAAGGTCTTATTTAAATGAATATTGTGATTCTTTTCAGAACTAGGAATATTTTAGATGATTTCAGAGAAGCTTACTTTTGGCTAAGGCAGAATACAGATGAACATGCCCGAGTGATGTCTTGGTGGGATTACGGCTATCAGATTGCTGGGATGGCTAATAGAACCACTCTGGTGGATAACAACACCTGGAATAACAGCCACATAGCACTGGTAAGAACTTGACCAACAAAAGACCAAAAGTTACAAGCCTTTAATCGCTACTTAGACATCAGACTTCACTTGTGATTAAGTAGGAAAACTGGGGGAGAAGTACTTTTTGCTTGGTGAATTTTCAACATACTTCTCTACATATTTGTTCAGTAAAGTGATTCAAGGTATGCTTACTTATCTGGTTTTTAAGACTAGAATTTGTTTACATATCATTCAGAATCAGAGGCTATATGCTGGAGAATGAGGCAAAATCTGAAACTTACTGTATTTGTCTTATATTTTCCATTTTGTAAGTTAAGAAAATTATTTGCAGATGTGTAAAGCAAGTGCACTGTGTTTTATGAACATGCAGATTATGTTCACTCTAGCTATTAACTAATTTTCATTAATTAAAGTAATCACCTCTCTGTTCTCTAAAGATTTTAAGTAGATAGCTGGGTGTTAGCCAAATGAATTTTGTTTGTATTAGTGTTGTGGCTAATCATTAGATATTTGGTAGACTGAAGAAAAGGATATATTTGTTCTAGCTAGATGATGGATGGTCATCCCCAGCCTGAGATTTTGAGAAATTGTACTTCTTTTAAGCTTGCTTGCTTTCATATTAAAGTGTTAACTTAATGCGACCAAATTATTAGGAAAATATAAGAGCACGTATTCTGATTTTGACATTTCTGCTGTAGTTGGCTATAGTAAGGGAGGTGCTTATTAAATCTCATGAAATTTGTTGAATTCATAGCAGATTGTTTCTATAAAAGGAATTACATGTGAATCAAACTTTTGAGATGCATTCTATTTTAAGGTAAAACTGTGCGTTCATGTTTGGTTTTAGTGTTATTTTGGGGCTGAGAACACATATTCTCACTTTTTTTATATTCTGTAGGTGGGAAAAGCTATGTCTTCAAATGAAACAGCAGCTTATAAAATCATGAGGAGTCTGGATGTAGATTATGTTTTGATTATCTTTGGAGGGGTTATTGGCTATTCTGGTGACGACATCAACAAGTTTCTCTGGATGGTCAGGATAGCTGAAGGGGAACATCCAAAAGATATTCGGGTAAGAAACTAGGTCGTTCTTATGTGAAGGACCGTTCCCAGAGTCCAGGTAACTCTCTTCCCTGTCTGACTGCATTGTATTTGTTACCATCATCCCATCTCCAGAGCAGTCCCTCACTCTACTGTTCACTGAAGACAGCGTAAACATTTTTCCAGGTTTAAAACTTCTGAAATCTGGTACTTCCATTCTCCTCTAGGAAACAGTTTTTTTTTTTTTTTTTCCAAGATTCTTGCTTTTACTCCTACGGCCTCTCACATTTGCCCTTTCCTTCCATTTTTGTTGCTTCCACTCTGGTATTGACCCCAGTGCTCGTAAACCTGAAATAGGACAGTAGCGTTCAAATTGCTATCTTTGCCTTAGTCTGTTTCCTCTCCCAATCTAACATGACATTGATCATGTTATTTACAGCTTTTTTTTTTTAAAGTCTCCGTTAGTTTAAGGAAAGGAGCCTCGGGAAAAAAAGCAGACAGATAAAGAGTTGCAACTAAACCCTGCCGCTAGCAGCTTGGTGCTGTGGGCAAGTTGTTTTTCAGCCAGTTAGCATTATATGCTTCGAGCAGTAGGTCTTGTTCTAGGTTCTAGTGTTAATGGTGGTGATTAGGGCCATTTCAGTTGATCACTAATAGAGATGTCAGGAATTCACTTGTAGTGCTATTAAGAGATTTTCTGGTAATATAGATGAACCCTCAGCCTCATGATTGGTTTAGAATAATCAGAATGATGATTGAAATAGTAAAGCATTGGTACAAATTCAAAACTGCTTAGCTCAGAATGCAATCCCTTAATACTTCCCTTTGCTGGCCTCGTGTTCTTCTATCAACGTTTTCCACTCTGTCACTCTCCCCTGGCCCATGAAACTTGTTCTGTGTTTTCTTTCCTTGGCTTATCTGACATGCATGTTACAATCTTTTCTTCTTGGGGTGCCTTCCCTACAACAGTTCTGTCCCCTTCCAGAGGTCCTTCTGTGGTACATCCATGTCTGCTCATCAGGTCATGTCCAGCCTGTTTTGTAGGTAGACTCTGCTGTATCCTCCCACTCAGCTATGGGCGCAGAGAGGATGGACACCCAGCAGTGAGGTTACATGATGAAGGCATAAAAGAGGAGAGTAGGATTCACTGCTGATCCAGAATAAAAGAACCTTTTGGGGAAACGTGGGAATGTATTTTGTGTGACAGGGGTAAAGTTGAGAAAAGCCCCAGATTTCCTGTTTAAACATAAATGCTTAACTACCCAACATTAATCCCTTAAACTACCATTAATAAATAGTATTTCCTTGTATTTACATTGGTCTTAATCTTCCATGTATGTGAGTTTTCACTTGTGGATTTGCTTTTAGCAGTGTTAATATTGTGACATGATCGATTGGGATATGTTTTGAACATTTATGTAGAGAAAAATCCTAATTTCCTGTGCTTTGTGAGTTAGGTAATTTACATATTCACATGGTTCAAAAAATGAAATATACAGGGACATACAGTAAAAGTTTATCCCCCCCCCCAAAAAAGAAAAAGGAAAAAAGTCCAGGGTAATCTCTTGTTATTTTCTTATTCTAATTGAAGCAGATAACTAGTAGGAAAATATACACATTGTTCTTGCTTTTTTATTTTTTTTTTTAACTTCACAATATTCTACGGAGATCTTTACATATTAAAATACTCGGATCCTTCTTCATTTCTGTTTTTTTACATCTGTATAGTGTGTTCCATTGTGTGTGTGCACTATGATTTATTTAACCTGTCCCTGTTAATGGATATTAAGGTTTTTTGAGTTTTTTTCATCTGAAACAGCAGTGCAGTAAATAACTTTCTACACTCATCATTTTGCCCACATTTTAATATCTGTAGGATAAATTCGTAGAAAAGAAATTTCTGTCAATAGTATCAGATTGGCCCTCTCAGAGGTTAATTTATAAATTTGATGAGCTCACAATAAAAATTGCTATAAGAGTTTTCTAAATGTTCCCCTCCCAACTAAAAAAACGGTTTTGACGTTCATATGGAAAAATAAAACAAATTTAGGAAAACTCTGAAAAGGAATAATGGCTGGGGAAGGGGAGACAGTTGAAGAGAGTCAGCATACCTAGTATTAATTCATGGTGTTAGTACTTTTTTTAATTATTGAGGTTTTAGTATAACATGGTTTAAAATCTGGTAGAATTAATTGCTCTCCTTCATCCAGCAAACTATTACTCTCTTTGTTTTCTTGGATACTTTTTTCTTTTAATAAATAATTTCTGGACTGAGTGTTAAACACCCATGGTAGTTTTGTGCATTTTTAAGAGATCACATTAACTTTATGAATTTGTCTTCTGATACTGTGGGGTTTTTTTGAGATTTAACTAAATATGGCTTTATGAAGATAACCCCAAAAGCTAGCTCTCATGGGGAAATGAAAAGGGGAACCTGTAGTTGTGAATATGTTATATTAAACTGACACAGAAACTTCTGGATTCTTTCCTATAGGAAAGTGACTATTTCACCTCACAAGGAGAATTCCGTGTAGACAAAGCAGGATCCCCTACTTTGTTGAATTGCCTTATGTATAAAATGTCATACTACAGATTTGGAGAAATGCAGGTTAGTTATAATCTTTGTTTTTTTCTATAATCTTTATTTTATAAGCTTTATTCTAGATTTTTTCCGTAATCTTTATTAACAGGAATATTTTAACAGTACTCTTGTTTGACTCTAAAAAGCAGGATAATATTTTGGTTGTGCTCTAAAGAAAAATGTGCTCATCTAAAATTTTTCTACTCTATTAAATTTACTTTCTGAAACTTCTGTGTGAAAAATGAGGATATATTTTTTAGAGCAGAGGTTTCTTTCCAAAATGTTAATTAACAGAGGCTTAAATCCAACCCTTGCCTGCCATCCTGCCTTTTTGACTTCATGTTTTTGGAAAACATTGCTCTCCCAGGGAGAGGTCTTTCAGCTGGGAAGTGGTGTGATCTTAAGTAGCTTACTCTACTGCCTGGTGAGGGAAAGCCGGAAATTAAAAGGTTAGATTGTTTAGTCACTTCACACTTTTATTCTCTCCCTGTTCTCCATTACTTCAAATAGCTGGGACTCTCTAGGTCAGTGTTACCCAGAAAATTAGAATGATGTGCTACATAAGATGTAGTCAATGAAAGGAATGAATGGACAGGGAAGTATTGTGGCAAAAGGAATGAACAGCAGATTGTCACAAACTTGGGGTCCATATCGGGCTCTATGATATCATGTAATCCTTGGATGAGTTGCGTTCTCCCTGGGCTTGGTTTTTTCCTTATCTGTTCATAATTGGGCTCCTGGTGGCCTCTGCTGCTCTTCCTAACTTTCATATTGCACGGCTGTCATACCAAGTTACACCTTCATACTAAGGTTATATTGAAAACTTTCTGGTTCCATGCTGCTTTCTGGTTGATACTAGAAGGCAGAGGAAAAATTGCTTGTTCAATTTTGTATGAATACCACAGATCAAGATAACGCTTCTGCATTACTCATTTGGAATTACTCTGCAAGTAGCTTTAAAAAATAATAATTTTACTACTAGGTTTAAGTTTTTGTTTGTGTTTTGATTTCTTTTGAAGGCAAACTGCCTGGTCTCTAACCTCATGCTATGCTAAGAGAGAAGCACTAAGGGCATAATAATTATCTACCCCAGAAAATGGGTGAAAGATTAGTTTCTCTGTTCACTAATGATAGCATTGAAGGACCTTTTTTTTTTTCCTGTCTGATCGAGAGCTCTAAGCCATGCTTCTAGCATGCACTCATTTTGATGCCTTTCCCTACACAAGAATATGTTCAAGACATGAAGTATACCTTTCCTGTTGTAAGATATATAATAACAAGTTATTCCCTCATTGGACAAGGTTTGTTTTCTGGTTTTATTTTTTTTCTCCCATTTATTTTTATTAGTTGGAGGCTAATTACTTTACAGTATTGTAGTGGGTTTTGTCATACATTGACATGAATCAGCCATGGATTTACATGTATTCCCCATCCTGGTCCCCCCTCCCACCTCCCTCTCCACCCGATCCCTCTGGGTCTTCCCAGTGCACCAGGCCCGAGCACTTGTCTCATGCATCCAGCCTGGGCTGGTGATCTGTTTCACCCTAGATAATATACATGTTTTGATGATGTTCTCTCGAAACATCCCACCCTCACCTTCTCCCACAGAGTCCAAAAGTCTGTTCTATACATCTGTGTCTCTTTTTCTGTTTTGCATATAGGGTTATCATTACCATCTTTCTAAATTCCATATATATGCGTTAGTATACTGTATTGGTCTTTATCTTTCTGGCTTCACTCTGTATGATGGGCTCCAGTTTCATTCATCTCATTAGAACTGATTCAACTGAATTCTTTTTAATGGCTGAGTAATATTCCATGGTGTATATGTACCACAGCTTCCTTATCCATTCGTCTGCTGATGGGCATCTAGGTTGCTTCCATGTCCTGGCTATTATAAACAGTGCTGCGATGAACATTGGGATGCACGTGTCTCTTTCAGATCTTGTTTCCTTGGTGTGTATGCCCAGAAGTGGGATTGCTGGGTCATATGGCAGTTCTAATTCCAGTTTTTTAAGAAATCTCCACACTGTTCTCCATAGTGGCTGTATTAGTTTGCATTCCCACCAACAGTGTAAGAGGGTTCCCTTTTCTCTATACCTTCTCCAGCATTTATTGCTTGTGGTCTTATTTTTAAATTGAATTCACTTAGGTTTTATGTGACAGTGTAAACCTACTCTGAGAATTTCTTAAAATCCTCTCCCTTCCCTCCATTTTTTGCTCTTCTCATCCCTGGTTAATCTTCCCGTGGTTTGGTTTAATGTCCTTTGTAGTTGCCACTTTCAGGATGGTTAGCATCAGGCTTCCTTGTGCTCTGATTTCACAAGTAGCACTGGTGAGATAGAGCCACACTGAATAAGGTAAAGTCATTGTGCACCTTACCTCCTAGTGGAGGATGCAGGTAATTTTGAAAACAAATGAAAATTTTAGCAACAAACACTATAGAGTCAAAGAATAAAAGAATCAGTGGAGGAGACTTCTCAGTCATCAATCTCAAGAAAGGATTTCCCTGAAGTGATGGTATTTGGGCTGAGACCAGAGAATAGAAAGGAGCCAGTCGTGCGAAATTGCCAGATGAAGAACTTTGAGGCTGACAAAGTAATCTGGTAGTGCAAGGCCCAGGCAGGGAGGCCCTTCTGTGTGTTTGCTCTGAAAACCTATAAGAAGGGCTTTCATGGATTTTCATTTTGCTGTTTTTTGTGCCTGCAGGCTGCTCGTCCACTCTAAGGGTTCAGTGAAACTCTAATTCTTATGCATTGAGTTTCTCTCTTGCTGATTTCTTCCTGTCTGGTTAGCAGCATATGAGGACTGTTAACAGTATATCACTCTGATTCTGTTTCACTAGTTTAAAAGGAGAGAGTTGTACTCTGGTGATAACACTCCCTTCTAGTACTAAATGTTTTCCGGTATGTTTAACATCCAGTACTCATGTCACTTTTGCAGCTGGATTTCCGTACACCTCCAGGTTTTGATCGGACACGTAATGCTGAGATTGGAAACAAAGACATTAAATTCAAACATTTGGAGGAGGCCTTCACGTCAGAGCACTGGCTTGTAAGGATATACAAAGTGAAAGCCCCTGATAACAGGGAGACATTAGACCACAAACCTCGAGTAACCAACATTTTCCCCAAACAGAAGTATTTGTCAAAGAAGGTGGGTACCAAATGAAGTCAGGTCTGTAAAAGAGTAACTCAAGATCAGTCAGTTTGTCTGAAAAATTATTAAAAATTGCTAATAGGTTTTCATTTGCCAGATTTGTAAAGACCAAGGCTTAACAAAGTAGATATCAAGTTCCAACCTACTGAGGGCAGTCCTTACAAACTGAGCACTTAAGCTACCCCAGGAAGCAGCTGTTTCTGGAGAGTTCTTCATGGGAAGAGTGGTTATCAGTGAACTGAGCCAAGATTTTTCAGAGACATTCTAGCTTTAATTTGTGCCACTCCCATTACAAAGACTAGGTCGTAGAGTAAGATGTGTCTGTGGCCATCAGTTTCTGAACCTTTGTGAAAGTAAAAATGCCAAACACTCAGTAACAGTTGTGATTCATTCATGATCATTTGGTCAAAGCAAATTTATATAGCATTTTCAAGTTCCAGTCTCAGTACAATGTTACTATATTACTCATTTAATTAAAAGCTCAAGTTGAATTGAGTCCTGAATCCTCAAAAAATTTATCGTTAGATAATTATTAAATATAATTGTCACAAAAAAGCTTGTGGTCAGAATTATGATGATGAGACCATTGCAGTCCTTTTGTAATACTTAATAAGAAACAAAGCCTTTTATTAGAGGTCATTATGGCTCACTTAAACCAAACAGGTCTAATCTTTGCTATAAAAACTATTGAAAATGAGTATTTATATGGTTTGCCCTCTGTGGGAGATGGAAAATAATGAGCAGTCAGATGAAATATGAAGATTGTATTTTAAAGTACAACGCTTAATAATACTAGTTGTTATTAGACTGATTTCAGTCTTAAGTCTTGAAAGATGCTTACGTTTAAATTGTCCAGATCAGTTATTTTAAATCATTGAAGGTTCTTCCCTGGTGTCTTAGTCGGAAAAGAATCTGCCTCCAATGCAGGAGACCAGGGTTCGATCCCTGGGTCAGGAATATCCCCTGGAAAAGGGAATGGCAACCCACTCCAGTGTTCTTGCCTGGGAAACCCCATGGATGGAGGAGCCTGGCAGGCTACAGTCAATGGGGTCACAAAGAGTTGGACATGACTGAACAACTAACACTTTCACTTTGTATTACTTAAAATATACTTCAGATATGCTCAGACTACAAATTCAGTTTATACTATAAAAGTGCTAAGTATTAACTGTATGATATGTAAATAGATACTTCCTGTGCCAGGAATAGGTTACCATATCTTGACTAACGTATTGGAACATGTCAGAGAGCTGGCACTCGCTGTGCCGGTCGTGTCGAGTGACCTGGTGTCTCCTGAGCACATGGCGGGAGAAACTCGTGGGTCACATCAGTGCAGGAGCCGGAGTACACACTGCGGCCCCAAGGCAGCCAGTCGCTCCTCGGACATCTCAGCCCCGTTAGGGTCCCCTCTTCTGAGACACGGCCGTTGGACTGGCGCGTCCTGTTGGTGATAGTGAATTTTCTTAATCTGACCTCTTCTGTCTTCCCATCATTTCTCCCAAAGGGACAAGTGAACGGATAGATAAAAATCCATCTGTCCTGTATGCCCCAAACATAGATTCTAGTTGCCACCAGTGTGAATCTTGTATTCTGATTTCCACGGCTTTATAGGTGGTTTGTACTGACAGGAATGATTTTTGTTTTGCTTTCCTCTCCCCACCCTGGTTTCTGCTTTTGAGGGGGTGAGTACAGCAGCCACTGTCAGAGCCGTCCGGCCACTGCCGAGCCAGCGGGGCTGAGGCCAGGGCTGCCTGCTCAGTGCTCCGGGAGAGCCAGCACCCTGAGCGCCTGCTTCCACACTTGTAGAGACCTGGGGCACCTTACAGGAGCTCCTAGAGAAGGTTTTAGGTTAGAAATCTTGGGGTATTGATGATAAACTCCTGGCCTGGTTTAAAGTTTTACAGATTATACCCTCTGATTTTTTGTTTCTTTTTGTCCTAATAAGTTAATAATAAGGTAACATATGTTGTGGACAAGTTAGCAGTAGTTAATTTTTGTGATCTTAAGGATTGAATTTTGCCCCATATTTTTGTTTCTGTTGGAAACATTTTAAATTGTTTTAATGTGAGTATCATAATAGGTATGTACACGATATAGCATTTGCCAATGTGTTTGTTGCTCGTGTCCAACTCTTTTGCGACCCCGTGGACTAAAGCTCGCCAGGCTTTCCTGTCCAGGGGGTTTTCCAGGCAAGAAATTGGAGTAGGTTGCCATTCCCTTCTCCAGGGGATCTTCCTGAATCAGGGATTAAACCCAGGTCTCCCACATTGCACGCGGATTTTTTACCATCTGATCTACCACAGTTTCTGAAACCACCTCCATAAGTTATATTTAAACATGAGAATTGCATCGAGGGATCAGTCTCTTGAGTCTTCACCCACTGCTTTGATGGTTCATTGAATTACTTGTTGAATTGAATTACGAAAAAGTGTTGCTTTTTTTCAGTGTCTATGAAAATGTCTGACAATCTGACGTGTCCTATATGATTTATCTTGTGAGACTGTAAGATAGCAAACATTTTGGCAGTAATTTGTTTCTTAACACCACAGACATCAGTTTGACAGTATTTTTTTTAAAGATGTATGAAACTCAGAGGATGTTATGGTTTTGTTTTTTTCCCCGTGGTGTTTGCTTTTTAATATTTAAGTGCTTGAGAATGTGCCAGGTAACTTTATTCTCTTTTATTTTTGTGGCTAGGTATATGTCATCCTCATTTTTACAGATAAGAGAATTGGGGCTCCAAAAGCTACCAAGTTAATTAGGATTTCTGACATAGCTAGTTCTTGGAGCCTAAATCAGGAGCACCAGTAAACAGTTTCTGAATCCTTAGTCTAGCATGCTTAGAAATGTGAGTCTTCACAGCTAAGCATGTCACGGCTGAGAAGGCAGGTTGGGATCCATTCACTTGGTGACGAAGAACATATGACAGGCTTTGGAGGAGCGCTGTGCTGGTCCTTTCCTCATAAAGCTGAGGACCTTGTCCAGCTCATCCTGGGTCTCCACATCCTCCGTGTAGAGCAGCGGGGAGTGCTCGTTGACCGTTCAGGGAGACCAGAGCTGGGAAGAGCTGAGTGGTTATTAAGACAGTCTTCACCACTCTGCAGTAAACCATGTGTGTATCCGTGTTTTTAATCCATAAGAAACCTGCACTAACACCAGGTATTCTGTTTTCTTTTTAGACTGCAAAAAGGAAGCGTGGCTACATTAAAAATAAGCTTGTTTTTAAGAAAGGCAAGAAAATATCTAAGAAGACTGTTTAAAAACACTGTTCTGGTTCCTAACTTGAAGCAGATGTCTTTGTGAGAACCGGTCTTTGCCTTTAGCTCATGTCGTGTTTCACAGCAGCGGAGGGTACAGAACCATCACTGGTCCAGGTTAACATACAAAACTCTGGCAACACCTGATTTAAAAAATAAAATTGGCTTATTGAGAACAGCTGTTTTCGATTTGTAATGTGAAGCAAGACAGAGCACTGCTGTAAATGTCTTAACAGCAGATTTTTTTTTATTGGTACATATTATCCTTCAAATCTGAAAATTTGGACACAAATCGCACCAAAGAACCCTCTAATTTGGTCCCTGGCACATGCATACTTGTCAAGGTTTTTTTATTCTTTTACAAGACCTGCATTTTATTTGAATGACCCAGATAGCAATATGTAAAATACAAATGACAAAATGTGATGCAAGCTTCTTGAACCAGTAAAACTAGTACAGGTCTGAGAAAGAGGTATGAGAATACTTCCTTGAACTATATTTATTTTCATGTTTCTCCAGTGCAAAGAATGTTTCATCAAATGTACATTGTCTGTTGCTTACTGTTTGCTCTGAGAAGAAGCTGCTGTTTTAAAGATGGACCTCTAACTCATTGATTCAAGTAGTTTGTTTGTTTTTTTCTTTTATGTTGAAACATTATTGCTGCTGTTAGCAGTTGTTTTCACCAGGTACTTACAGAGCAGATATCATACATGGTTCATTCAAGGGCTAAACTTATATCCTTTGGCAATCATGGCAACACACAGAATGTTGCTTGTCAGCAGGCTGGGATTCAGAGTCCTACTCCTGAGTTGAGCACTGTGTTTACATACAGAAGATTAAGGAAGAAACCCTTAAAGTGGACAGGTATCCAGAGTTTGTTTTGTGTGACTCTTCAAAATGACAAAGGATTTGTACAATTCTGGCTTTCTCTCATTTTTACAACAGTTTCATCCATCACAGTGACTTTTGTCCTTTGCTCCATATTTTGTTAATCCCTTAAGCATTTGATGAAACACTCTTTAATGCTATGTGCATTTTCTTACTTTTATTAAAAATGTGACAGTTGTCAAAAAATGCACTAAAATGTCAATCGAGATTGAACATGTTCACTTTCCAGCTCATAGGCAACTTTATATAGACTTGAAATTTTTCTCCCGTTTAGTGAAAGAGAAAGGGTTTTTCCTGCCACAGGATATCTTTCCTTTTTTTTTTTTTTTTTTTGATATAAACAAGCATAACTTACACCACTGCTTTTGGTGGAAAAGTGCAGAATAGTATGTACCTTTTATGAAGAAAAATGTAATTTACAATATTAAGTGAGAATGTTACTGCTGATTTTCTTTTTCCAAAGTGTAGAATATTCTTTGATTTATAGAATTCATTTTTGACCCAGATGATGGTTCTTTTACAGACCAATAAAATGGTCGAACATTTTCACAAATAAAGTGTAATGAATCTGGATTTCTGATACCTTGTCATTTGGGGGATTTTATCTTACTTTGTTGCTTTAAAATTCAATGCAGAGAAGTTGTTGACTGTAGGGAAAATAAAGTTAATTCAAATTTTGTGTTAAGTGTTGTCTTTTTATAAATCTTTTCTTTACAGAGTCTTGAGCACATGCTTCCTTCTTGTTTGCGTTGACAAAGGTTTAAGAGAACCCATGTGGAGAATAAAAAACAGTAAAAACAAATGCTGTTACTTTAATTTCACTTTTATACATTTCTAATTTCACTTTTCTGCTACATTAAGACCTCAAATGTCATTACAATATAGCTTTTACTGACGCAGTTCATGGAGCCAAAATGGGGTTCCCCAAAACTAGTTCAACTGAGACCTACTATTTTGTTATGCCTTCCTCCACCCACCACCCTCCCCCCACCAAAGTGAAAATTTCATTTTGACTCTTTATGGGTAAGTGAGGGGAAGACACCTAACCAAAAAGGAATTTTTATCTCCATGTAAATGAGGGCAGAACTCTTAACAAAAGCTCTTCTCTGTAAAGTTCTAGTTAAACATCACTGAATCTTATTGAATTTTCTCATTAAGAGCAGGAATGACCTCTCTCACCTCCAGTTTTCTGGAACCTCATTCCTGTTCAGGGGATTATCTCAGTAAAAACTATATTGTAATAACACTTGGCAGTTTTATTATAACAGAAAAGTGAAATTACTGACATATTAAATAGCTTTTGTTTTATTCCACATCTTAGAATTGAGCAAATTGAGTTCTTTGTAAAAAAAAAAAAAAAATTAGGCTGCAAGTCCAAAGATAAAATTCATTTTGCAAACTCACATTGTTACCTACTGGAGAGTGCATTTGTAGAGTTTTACTTTTAGTCCCCAGGCCATAACCAAAAGGCCAGAGGACGGAACAGTATAATAGAGTATTACTGTTTCTGTAGCTCAGGGGTCATATGATTATGAAATCTGGAGCTACTACACATTTTTTTTAATGGTGGCAAAGTATAAAACAGAAGATTTAACATCCTAACCACTGTAAAATTACAGTTGAGTTGTGTTGAGTGCATTCACATTGTGTGCGACCCTCTCCAGAAGCTCTTCCTCTTGCTGGAACAGCCACTGTTGAAGTGGGGACTGGCAGACCTCTGCTTTCTTACCCAGGTAGGTGGAGTCATGAGTGAATGTAGAAACAGCAGCCTGTAAGAAATGGCAGGTATCTGAAATGAAAAGGTAAGTCTTTTTTAGTGTGAAGTGGAACACAGTGAAGGTAAATGTCCGCCTTAGCAAGTTACCACCAGACAAGCAACTCTGTAACCACAATTCAGATCAAGACCACAGCACTGCTGGGGCCTTGTAAGTTTCCTCATGCCCCCTCTGGCCTGTCCCCTCGCCCCTCCAGAAGGTAATTGGGTCTCCTAGCTTTTACAGTAATTACTTTTTCTAAACATATTTAATTGTACCTATTCTTTGAACACAAAATGCAATCAAAATAGGTATCTTTTTGTATCTAGCTACTTAATTGTGATGAAATTTAAAATGTTGCATGCAGCTATAGATTTATTTTCATTGATATATAGTATTCTTTGTCTCACATACCATTCTATTGTTGATGGATATTTGTGTTCCCAGTTTGAGGATATTATAGTTAAGGGTATAGCAGTTTCTATTATCTCTCTCTCTCTCTCTGAGATTATATGCACACATTTTTATATTTATCCAATAAAGTAGAATTACTGGGAAAGGTATAAAGGTTCTTGTTTACGCCCACGTCCTAATCAGCCCTTGTCAAACTTTATAGTTTTCTTTCCAGTAGGTGAATGATGGCTTTTTGTTGTGTTTAATTGCCATTTCTAGGTTACTAGTGAGGTTGGTCATTTGAAAATCCCCTTTTTACAAGGTTTTGGGTGTTTTGTTGATTTTTACTTTCATTGTATTAGTTGGGGTTCTTAATATATCCTGTATATAAGCTCTTCATCATTGTGTTACAAACCACTTAGTTATTATTCTAATGTTGTATTTTTCAGTCTATCTGCCTGTCAGCTTTCTGCACCTGTGCCATTTAGTAATCTTTTCCTTACCTGTGGTGTGAAGATAGTTTCTTGTGGTCTTTTCTGAGAAATTTATTGTTTTATCTTTCATACTTAGCTTTGCAGTCTGCCTGGAATTCAGTTGAGTACAGTGTGAATAGTTTGGGTTTTGTTTTGGGTTGGTTATGTTTTTGTTTTTTCTCCATATGTGAATCTAATTTTTGCATTTATTGAAAGAACTATCCTTTTCCTGCAGCTCTGCAGTTCTCCTTTTGCGGGAAATCCGTACATAAATCTATCTAAACGGTGTTATATTCCATAGAGTTCTTAGTTTTCTGTATTGACTTAATGTGCTTTAACATATTTCAGATGGTGATGTAAGTCCCACTCCACCTTCTTTGACCTAGCTTGGCTATCTCTGGTCCTTTGTTTCTCCACGTAAATTTTAGAACCAGTTTATAAAATGATATCAGAAAAGAAAGAAAAAACTTGAGCTTTTGACTGGGCAGTGAGCATTGAAACTGTAGATTAAGAAAAATTAGCACCTTTGAGTCTTCTGTGAATATGGCATATCCTATTTATAGAAGTCTGGGTCATCTTTAATTTCTGTATTGTTTTTAAATAGGTGTTACTCATTTTCATAAGTTGTATTGCAATACTGTCCTAAAATTTTATTTTCCAAATGTCAGGATATAAAATGTGTGGTTTTATGTATTAAAATCATACTAAACAGCATGTTAAAATCATTGTAATAATTTTAGATTGTTGATATAAACATATGCCATTGTAATTAGGAAACAATGGTAGTTTTATCTCTCCTCTTGAAGTGATTATATATTTGACTTTGTTTTTGCCGCACTGGTCAGGACGTTGAGTCTAGTACTGCATAGAACAGGTAACATCTTTATCATGTTCCTGTCTTACACAGGAAGTTGTAAGTGTTTCTTCTTTAAATATGTTTGAAAGTGTTAGTCACTCAGTTATGTCCAACTCTGTGACCCCATGCACTGTAGCCCACCAGGCTCCTCTGTCCATGGGGATTCTCCTGGCCAGAATACCAGAGTGGATAGCCATTCCCTTCTCCAGGGGATCTTCCCAATGCAGGTATCAAACTCTGGTTTCTCTGCATTGCAGGCAGATTCTTTACCATCTAAGCCATCAGGGAAGCCCTAAAGTATGTTTACTGTAGACTTTGTATTGGTATCTTTGATTGGATTGAGTACATATTTTCCCCAGTTTCCTGAGTTTATTACATGTGAAGTTGTTTCTTGGTTTATTGAGATGATTTTGGTTTTTCTCCTTTATTCTGTTAACACAGTGAATTATAGAGACTCTTTGTTTACATTGTTAAATTTGCCTTCCTGGGATAACGATCAATGTTTCATAGAATTTGCTGGTGCAACCATTTGGGTGTGTATTTCTCTTTGAATATAAAATTACTGAATAGATCTAATAATCTTACACCATTGGATTTTTTAATTTTTTTTGTCAGATTTGGTAAATTTTTCAAGGAATT